TTTATTCCACACAGCTTCAGTTGATTTATGTTACGAGCGTTTGGTTATTGAAGTTATAAATTTTAAAATTAATATAAAATATAAATTATTAATTACAATTTATATTACACATAATTTAAAAATAATTTTTAAAAAATTAAAATTAATAATGTTTGAATGACATTTTATCAACAAAAAACTGCAAACCAACTGTTTACAAAACGCAAAAACCAAAGAGCTAAACAATTTATACAGTAAAAGAGCAGAATAATCATTTATTTAGAATAAACTGTTTTCCAAACGCACAAACTAAACAGCCAGCAAGCTCATTCAGATCAACTGCTCATCAGCAGATTATCAGGATCAACTACTTATCAACAGAAGCTGGATAAATTACAGCTACCCCAAACAAACCCTAGCACGAAGAAATGTTAAACCCGCTCAAGATCAACGTTTATACGCCATTATATGTAAATATAATAAATTTAAATTTCGATATATGATCCAAAGAAAATCATAAACATACCAAATTTTAGTTTCACAGAAAGAACCATACTTCTCATATGAAGATATACCGCATAAAATATTTATTATAAGATATAAACGGTTAGATTTCTTCACATCGGTAAAAATTATAAGAATCATTTTTTTTTTTTTAACATAGAGGCAGTTACATAAAAACCACCCAAAAACTTGCTATTTACAAACCAACCGCCCTCTTACATCCATTTTTCAAATTCTCACTCAAATATCAAAATTCATCGCAAAACAAAACCCCAGCCTTTTTTTTTCATTTTTATCAAATTTCATATTCCATAGTCTAAAAAAACAAACTTGGTGATTAATTTGTAAATATCAATATTTAGAATGATCTATATGCATTTATCCCTTTTTTATATTTCATCCAATAACAGGGCTCGACTCATAATGATAAGATATCGATAGATAACGATCTTATGATCAAAACTTCAAACTAATTAAATATATATTTACAAATTTATGACAACCTAACAAATAGCTTCATCAGACAATTACCTGACACACTTTGATATTGTGAATACTATCTTGTGTATTATGATGTTGTCTTCTTAAAGTTGGAGTCATCTCCGACTAGCGAGGGAAGAATGATCCAAACCAACTTTATGGATCTTCATGATCTTTCCATGTCAATGAGATTGGTCATTAGCTTTAGGACATGTCATCTCCCCACCTACAAAAGAAGATCAATCCAAAAATGCTTTTAGGAGCCTCCATGACATTCCAACATCATCTCATCATCTTTTTCAAGTTGGGTTATCTCCAACTCCCGGAAAAAAAAAGGGGGCATTTACGTACAAAGCACACAATTCTTGTGTATTTACATATCTAACATCTTACATAGCACTCAAATGTTCAATATCACATTAAAAATAGCACTATAATCACTTTTTAAAAGTGAAATATACATTTACATGCATAGGTTTAAAGCACCAAAGTGCTATGCATGCAAATATGAAGGTTTAGATGCGAATTGTGTGGTACATGTGTAAATTTTCCCCAAAAAAAATGTAGATTTATATACACACCACTAAATTTTATGCAAAAAAAAAGGGAGAAGGTTTAGATGTGAATTGTGTGGTTCATGTGTAAATTTCCCCCCAAAATAATGAAGATTTACACACCACTAAATTTTATGCAAAAAAAAAGGGAGCATTTTACTTTATAAAAATTGGAAAAGTCGTATTTTTTATATGATTTGGGAGTTATAAATGTAAAAAAGCAAAGTTTAGGTGTTAGAGATGTAAATACGTAGGAATTGGGTGGGTGGTAAGAATGCAAATGCCCCAAGAAAATAAATTGTATAACTTCAGTTGCTTGCATAACCTTTTGAATCCTTGAAGAATCGCATACGTACCACTGAAATGATATTTAATTACATACCTAACGCCTATACTTCAATTTTTACATATATGTCACTTTACCCATGCATGAAATGGTTAGTTCACTTTTAAAAGTTAAAATTGAGCTATTTTTTGCAAGTGATATGAAAGATTTGGGCGGTATTAATGTAAAAAATCAAAATTTAGGAATTAAATATGTAAATGCATAAGAATTGGGTGGTATGTATGTAAATGCCCCTTCAATTTTTAACATAAAATAGCCTGTGCCCTGCTTGCTTTATATACTTTTCTAAATGTGTGTGTGTGTGTGCGGTGCCATTCATAACTGAGATTTAAAAAAAAAAAGACTCAAATCTTTAACAGCATAAATTCTAACTAGCAACAGCCAACAGAAGAGTCTAATACCATGTAGAAAGATCAACAAAGATACTAAATCAACCGAACAGCTCTTACATTTAAGCAATTGGAATTAAGTACAGTGTTGTTAAACAGCAGTTAGTTGTTGCAATGAAAGGAGGGAAAAAAAAAGAATTTTACATACCTAGCACGCAAGTCTTATATACAACAGAACCATTTTGCCTTGATAACCAGGTCTACCGCACATCAACCATGCTGAATATTCAGATAGGTTCTCCATCGTTGAAACCAAGGCTGAATAATTCAGGATCTCCAACGGGCACGTAATCAAACCCTTGCCTCATTGGTCTAATGAATTCATGGCAGAAATCAGTGTCATTAATTCCCATATCCATATGAGTCAATGATCCCAGCATCTTCGCATCAGGATTCTGCAATTGGAACGACAGTGCTGAAGGACTTTCCATATGCCATCTGCTACTACAATGCTGACTAGCATCCTTTTCTCGTTGTCTAGAAACCTCTGTGTTATTTAGATCAGTATCCATCATCCTCAGCATCTCATCTACATCAAAATTTTCCAAGGAGATATCTTGCCAATCAATCGACTGCACATTTGCTTCTTCTTCTTCTTCAGTTTCCTCTTTCAGAGCAGTTCTAAGGAAAGATGTTTCAGCGTGAGGACTATCCAAAGCCAATTCTTTCTTTTCATCTACGTTAAGACTAACCCCATTTTGCATCTTCTTTACAGTGCTGCTCTCAGTTAAGTCCTCTGAAACATTTGAACAATGAGTTGTTGTTGTGATGGAGCCATAAGATTCAGAATTTGTGGTTCGGGGTTCATTAAGAGAAGTAAATTGATCTCCAGGAAGATTGAGACAAGCACTGGGACCATACATTGCTCTTGCTGCCTGATCATAAACAATAGCTGCATTAAGAGCTGTCGGAAAAGTACCAAGCCATAGTCTATTTCCTCGATTTGGCTCTCTAATCTCAGCAACCCATTTGCCCCAAGTGCGTTGTCTAACACCACGATAGCTGCATTTAGAGTTATCTGGCCCTCCTTTACCTCTCATGCACCCTTTTTTCGATCCCTTGGCAGGAGCCTTGCGGATTCGCTCACCATTACATGAATCAACTTGTTTATTGAGCTCTCTCCATTTTTTAAGAGTTTCTGCCAGTGAATCCGGTCCTACCCTCCTCCTTCTCGTTCTTCGTTTCCTGGCGCATATAATAAGAAATTCTTTAGCATCAATTACACCAAATTAAAATATCTATTTAAAATGGAGGTTTCATATTCAACGGATGTTAAAAACTACTAAATATACACACAAAATCAAAATTACAAAAATTCAGATCCACGGATGGTTCAGGGTCCACAGAAGTAGAAAACAAGCCACAAAATTACTATCAATAAAATGTGACGCTATAGAAATTCGAATAGTTCGACTCATTCAACAATTTCACGGCGAAAGTTTGAATTCCGTCCATCTAGTGTAAGCAATCGAAAAACTCCCGCAGATTAACTCACTCACAGCAGCAATCAATCGTTGATTCCAAACAAGCAAGAAATCGAGAACCCAATACGAAAAAACTCAAAACGGATCGGATAGGAAAACAGAGACCAATAAAGTTCTTTAACAAAATTAAAAAGAAAAAGAATTGAGTACGATGATGTAAAACCTCTCCTGCTCCGCCATCGGATTTTTTTGGAAACCTTCGCTGCTGCTTCTTCTTCTCGACCTTAAATCCCCTAGGGTTTTGCTGTAACTTCGGCTTAAAGAAAACTCCGGACCACCGGGTCTGGGTTGCTTCGGCTGGAAGTAAACTTTTGGGAATCGAGCTCGAGGGTGGTATTTATAGGTACTACCACGCGTAGATGTCAGAGAGGGTATTTATAGGCGGAAGATGTTCCAGATAAGGTAGGAAAGAGGACGACTGTTCCACGGAGGGTGATTATTACATGGATATATTAATTTTTTATTGGATTATTAAATGAATTTTGATTTGCTAAAAAAACTAATTACTATTTAATGTTTTATTAATAAAGTTTAAGATATAATTTAAATTTATTTAAAAAATTATGTAGAGTGATGTACATTAAACAAATTTATTTTATAATAATTGATTGGTGCAAGAAAATCTGCAGTAATAGAGTAATGAATTAATTTTCGTATTCCACTAAAACTTTACTCGTTAATTAAAAAGAAATAAGGGAAGGGGACATTTTATTTTTTACCTGCAAAATTCTATTGAAAGAAAAAAATCATGGGATGTAGCACAGGTGAAACAATTTACTATAAATAATAAATATACAAATACACTTCTCTGAAATCAGAAAAATCGAGTCACAAAACTAATTGTTATAAATATCCAACAATAGTAATAGTTGCAGTCATGCAATAGCGAATGTGATTCTCAAAAATAGCAGGTTGTAAGTGTCGTAGTTGATTCTATGAAGACACTAATCATTCACGTTGTAAATGGTGGTCTAGGTCGTAGTTGAAAGTCATAATAGCGACTGACGATGTGGGTTGCGCAGAGTTGCTTCAGGAACATAATTGGTTGCAAATGCCATAGTACAAAGCTATAGAAGATATAAGACATGTTGGCTATAATTGGTCACACAGAAAGTAGTGATGAGCTGTGATAATACTCGTATGTTGCAGAGGTTAGAGTCAAAAGCTGCACAAATTGTGGACCACATAGCTCATAGTTGATTATGTAGGTCATAACTTTAAGCCTAAATTTCCTGATCATTTGCTTACTTAATAATACTCTCTACGGTCTCAATCTGGATCCTCGACCATGGTTTAATATGTTTACAAACCATCAAATTTGGTAAACTTTTAGGAAGAGTTGTGCAGATCCCTCCTTATTCGCGACGATTATAATCCTACTTGTAATTATCTACGATGACATTTTACTAACAGGTAACAATTCCCGTGTCATGCATCAACCTCTGAAAGATATCCGACACAAAATTTCCATGAAGTTTTAAGGAACCGCTTCCACCTTACAAGGCATTCATATTCGACACACTCCCCACGAACTATTAGTGCACCAAACTTCTGAAAGATATGGCTGATTGCAAACCAACCTCCAATAGTAACGTCTCTAAACATAAGAAAAGAAAAAAAATGAACAAAAAACACTGCTGAAACCTCTCCCTGCAGCTTCTAAGCTGATCATATACATTTTTACTGTTTATACACATATACACATACATGTACAGCAGTAGACATAGAATAAAAAAAATGAATTAATTAGATACACAACTGATTAAAACACACTGAAAATTCAGAAAAGGACTCCATCACTGAACCCAGGTTCAAAAAATTCCGGGTTTCCAGCAGGCCAGTAATCAAGCTCCTGCCTCGTTGGCCATATAAAATAGTTCTGATTTTCCAATCCTCGCAGCATTTCCCCGTCCAGATTCTGCGCAGCTTCTGTACTTAATCCATTGTTCCCTGGATCAGCATCCATCATCCTCAACAGCTCATCCACATCAAAATTCTCAGATGAGAGATCCCCTGCCAGATTTAGCCACTCAGCCAACTCCACATTTTCCTCCCTTTTAGCACAATCCATCAGGTCCGCCGAACCGATTGAATAGTTGGTGGTCGTGATGGTCGAACCGTAAGATTCCGACGGGGAGGCGGCGGTTTGATTGGTAGGGAAGTTGAGACGGGCGGCGGGGCCGTACATTGCTGTTGCAGCCTGATCATAGGCATGAGCTGCCATGAGGGCGGTGGGGAAGGTGCCGAGCCATAGTCTCTTTCCTCGATTCGGCTCTCGGATCTCGGCAACCCATTTGCCCCAAGTGCGTTGTCTGACGCCGCGGTAGCTGCATTTTGAGTTCTCCGGGCCACCTTTACCTCTCATGCACCCTTTTCTCGAGCCCTTGGCAGGAACCTTGTGGACTCGGTCGCCGTTTGATGAATCGAGTTGTTTGTTGAGTTCTGTCCATTTTTTAAGAGTTTCGGTCAAGGAATCTGGTCCAAGTCGCCTTCGCCTTGTTATTCGTTTTCTGGTAGATGTAATGAGAAAATATTTTAGAATCATGAAAGAATTGATGCTCATGTGAATGAGGAAGGAATTAACTACAGTGAGTTAACATAAAGATTAAAAGAGGGTGGCCCAATTCATATGTATTTACATATATAACACCGATATTTTACTTATTAAATTTTTACCACCCAATTTTTTCAAATTGCATTAAAAATACCTCTATTTTAACTTTTTAAAAGTGAAATACAACTTTTCATGCATAAGGTCCGTATGAATGTATGAAATTAAAGTTTAGAAGTTAGATATGCAAATACATAGGAATTATGTTGTATGTATGTAAATCTTCCTAAAATTAAAAGAGAGTGTGTGCTTCTGGCACACCTGAACTGGTAGGCCGGTGACATTGTTGGGTCTACTTCTTCCTCTTCATCCTAAAGGAAGGAAATGATTCAAAAGCCCAGCTTCTTCTCCTAAATTAATACTCCCTAATGAACCATGGGGTTATAGTGAACCTGAAATCCTTTTATACGATTAAAGGATCACATATTAATGAAAATAGCTAAAATTAGGTATTTATGTTCAAAATTGCCTGATTTTTATTATGAAATGGTTAATTTCGATGAAGGAAACCATATTCAATCAATTTGAATTTAAAAGTACAAGTTTCGTCGTGAATCTAGCTAAACAAAAAATGTGACGAATTAAATCCAAACTGCTAAATCTAATTTTTCTTCCCTTTCGTTACCTTTTTAACGTAAATCCGATTATTATGTGGATTTAACGGATTTAGCTTAGCAAAAAAGCCATGAGAGCGAATTTATGTCAAACTCCATAAGCAAATTTAATGAATTTAACCTTAAATTGAACAAAACATTATTCTGGATTTACAACATTTGAATTTGATAAATCCGGATTTATTAAATCCTATTAAACCTAAATCTTATAAGCAGCCAAATACCCCCTTAGAGAAAATCTTTCTTATTATTGATTCGAAGAATATGCTTAAATTAGTTGTTTTAATATTTAGTCTATGATGAATGATGATTAATGCATCTATTGTATGCTTTATATGAGTTTTCTTAGTTTACAATGCCTCTTTAGAGACTTACAGAGTGGGATTTGATTGAAGTCATGACTAATATAATTAACTATTTTTGACTAGTGTCATATAAGTGACATCTTACATATAAGTGACATCTTACATATTAATAAATAAGTAAAACGTTTTGATCCATAATGATGACCATTTTGGGGGTCATTGTGCCCACTAGATGTCAAAAATTTTCTTTTATTAAGGATATCTTCAGAGAGAACTATATAGATATAAATATTAAAAATAGAATCATAAACAATTGAAGATATATTCTCAGTGTAAATAAAGCATACATGTAAGTAAATGTTTTGATATTTTTACATACTAATTATTATTTTGCACATGAAATCTTATGAACATGATCACATATTCTGAACTATTTGATTGTTTCTGCCAATGATATTGTCACCATGTACCCTGGACAATTTGGTGCAATGTTTGTAATTCTTTGATATAATATATATCGTCAAGCGTGCCTCTTTTATAGATCATATCCATGCCATATCTCATCGTTTATTTCTTAAACAATATAATTCACCTATTAAATTTATTCTTTGCAAGCCCACATTTATTAATTTTTATATTTTTCAAATTACTAGTTATGTGTTATTAAGACATGCTTCATGCATCATGAGGAACTGAAAGGATATAGATTGTTTGATCAATTTAATGGAAGTTTTTTTCTAAATTTAATTATTGTATTTGCATTATGGCAGATAAATCAGTATATGTTACTGAATTTAAATGCCAAAACATTGAATTTTTTATAAATAATCATCATTGAAGATAAATGTATATTTATTCGAGTAATGTAAGTTTATCAACTCACATTGCCCTGTTGGATTGTAGGTAAATTTTCTCCCACCTAATGGAAAGGTCATTTCAAGTGGCATAAGAGCAGGTTCTAATATTTTTAAGCATGGTATTAGTAGGGCTTTTTTTGTGAGTAAGATTTGATATCTAGTTAATATTAATCTCATATTAGCAGAATACTTGCCAATAGTTTTATAAAAGAGATTCTTGGTGTGAAATTGATGGGATATTTTATTTAACTTGGGTGATAATTTTGATTGTTTATTGAGTTAAGAAGTCTACAATATTATAGTTAATCTATTGGGAAATTTCGGATAATATGTATTTGAACCACCATGAGAAGTCAATATACCTAAATTTAGGATGAATTGAATGCAAAATTCAAACCTCAAATATATAATTTCATAAATCCACGCAACTTGCATTTTATTATGTTTAGTTGGATTCTGCAAATCCGACAATAAATTTTGTTAATAGGTGCTACCAAACACCTCCTAAGCATAGATGAATAAAGTTATAAAAATAATGTGACTATATGAATCCGTGTGAATATATAAGATCGTTTTATGGGCACTAGTTATACATATTGTATGACTTAATATCCATATGTGGTAATATAGCAACATGACAGTTGCTATAATTAGTAGTGAGTTTGCATCAATATAATTTATTTATATGAAATATCCAATGTGTCAAATTGATGATTCATATGAGTTTCTTAAGTTTGGATGTGATAAACAATAAATTTCAATAGTAAAATCAATCAATCATAGCTAATGCCTTCGATTGGTGTTTGCCAACTTTGGGTTGGCGATTCTTTACTGTTGAAGAATAGCCAATGCCTTCAACTAGTGTTTGTCAACTTCGAGTTGGTGATTCTTAATGTTAAAAGAATATGTGCACCTTCATATCCATAAAATTATGGCCCTTTTAGGTCATTGGACTCCACAGGGATGATTGAAAAACTTCTAATGATTATTCATACATGTATATGAAAGGCCAAACTCCCCTAAAACAAGTTCAAGACGCGCATCTAGACAGCCCCAAGGAGCTGAGTTCGCCAAAAGGTCTCCTGAATTCGTCCATGAGCTAGTTTTTTAGGAAAACAGCTAAACTCAACAGAAGTTGAACTCATCAAGGAAAATAGCTGATTTCATCAAGGATAGCTGAATTCTTTTAAGAGTTGAACCCGTATAGGAGAACATTTAACCTCACTTGAAAGAGCACTGAATTCATCGAGGAGCTCAACTTGTCCAAAAATAAAAAGAAGGTACATAGAGAGCTCTTCAAGTACAACTCTCCCAAAAGAATTCTCCTAATACAACTCACTCAAAAGAGTTCTCCCAAAACAACTCTCTCATAATAGCTCTTCTGGAGAACTCATTCATGGTCGAATTGACTAATAGAGATGTGAACCTACAAGGTACATAAACTATACAAGAAAAAATGTGGCTGCGTAAGAAAAAATGCACCATAGATAATATTACTTGCTACTAATGTCCAAATAGGACACAGTGAGATAGTCAAAGATCCCTAAAGAACAAAATAAAATCATTACTCATGTATGATCTATAAAAAAAACCCCTTCTATAAAAGAGAAAAAATTAATGAAAGTTCATTAAGAGGTCATACGCGATCAAAGGATCACGAGTTGTTACTCGGGACAATCATTTATAATCGAAGAGAGATAACATAACATTCTCTCTATAATTCATTCACTTCAACCCCCACTTTCCCCATTCCTAGTTTTTCTCTTGAGACATTGTATACCCCAAAACCATCTGCACAAAGTTCAAAGCAATCAAGCAGCTCAGGATTATTGTCCGACAATCAAAGTATCAGGCTACGATAACATAATCCCAGCTGATCATCCAACGAATGATAGCTCAGTCGGAGTCGACCGACACACTATGACAAGTTACTCAGTCGACAAATCACGTTTATAATCCCAGACTGTCTTAGATTTCTCACGAGGGGGGCCCGACCGCAACCCGCTGATTGAGTGGCTTTTTACTTTGGCAAGCCTAATCGCCACTTAGCCGGTCGACTTGTCCTTTAGATCGAACTAAAGCACGTTGTCATATTTGAATTCAAATTGTAATATATATCTAATAGTAAATCATCATACTTAAATTGTATTATAGATGATTTCATTAAATGTTCTCTTCTTTCTATAACTGCACAAATATGCCCCTATAAATAGAGGGCAAAGAGGCAACTAAAAGTACCTCTCTCTGATTCTCGAGATGGATGC